AAGCATCATTTCTAAGTGTACCTAGCCTTCAGAAAAAACCCACTTACTTTTATCATGCTATTAGCTCAACAATAGAAAGAATTTTGAACCCTTATATTTCATAGTGAGTGAAAGTTGTTATATGTCACAGTTAGTAAACATGTAAAATATGATTCTGAACCAGACAAACAAGTGGTTGGTATAATGAACACATTTCATGCTGTTCGAGTATGATAACACAATCACGCAGCTTGAAAACCTGCTCAAATCCAAAGGCCACTTATAACAAGGTCAGTGGGTAGCCTAGTGTTTAAAGCATTCGCTCATCATACCAAAGACCCGGGTTCGATTCCCCACATGGGAACAATGTGTGAAGCCCATTTCTGGTGTCCCCCACCGTGATATTGCTGGAATATTGCTAAAAGCGGTGTGAAACTAAACTCGCTCACTACAACAAGAGAGTGCTGGGGAGTTGTTCTAACCAAGGAGTCCAGGGTGTAAGTATACAGTCAAGCAAGGCGGCACCCTTCCTGGACATGGCCATAAACATTCCACAAGGTTGCTTGTTCTCACAGCACATTGAAAACTGGCAATGCATGCCCCACTAATGCATGACACACACTGAATGAATGGCTAAACATGTTAAATATGTTTCAAATGTTCCAAGTCCATGTCCACTGCATAGAAAGCTGTCTGGAAAGTCACAGCTGTATACAAGTGTTAGTCTGTTCGGAGACATGTTTTGGTCATAGATCAACTATATTATCATCCTATCCTTAGACAAACTCATCATCCCAGCAAACCTATTAAAGTCTGTAAAGATTGACAAGTTAAAGGGTGTATAGAAGTATTATCCCTATAATATTCAAGGCTACATCTAAGGAAGCCAGTTTATCATCAGAACAATTTGTTCCTATTATCTATACAATCTAGAAATTATGATTTAACTAATCATCCCCTTGTGCAAGTCTAGTCCATTACTAATATCAGCTTGTGGTATAGTCTAAAAGAGGTCAAGTAAAGAGCTTCCTTTATTGTCCCGGATAGCAGTCAGTGAGTACATATATAACCCACTGCCACAAGTGTGTGCAGTGTTCAAAAGGAAGCAAAAAACGTCTGGAGGTCCTTGTCATAACACAAATGCTTAAAATGGGTCACGAAAACTCAAGAGTTACAGGGTCTCCTAGATTAAAAAACCCATAAAAAGCAGCTTGAGCCGAATCTTACTCCTAGTAACAATATTTGTACATCATTGTGATATCATGTTTAATATTAGCTGGCTGAGATAGACCAAACAAAATGTTGCTAGATTCTTCTCTTGAGAAGTGGGACAGTGGGGTAGCCTAGTGGTTAAAGCGTTTGCTCATCACGCCAAAGGTCCAGGTCTGATTCAGCACATGGATACAATGCGTGAAGCACATTTCTGGTGTTCCCCTGCCCTGATATTGATGGAATATTGCTAAAAGTGGCGTAAAACCCAACTCACTCAGTGCAAAGAAACATGACAAATCTATTAGCCTGGCATGGGCTGCTGGCATAAGTTGATTTTAGTTGGTACACATAATATGGACATTAACGGAAATTACAAGAGATAATTTTACAAGACTTTGAACTGACTGAAAACAGTTTAAGCTAGTAAACTAAACATTTTCTAGCACAATATGATCTTCAAATGTTTCATAAATGTTATCTCTAACAATCAGCACATTTGAGTGGTCTTATCTCATTATGTATGTACAATTTCCTTGTTCCTGTTGTAACTGATCGGTAACTATCCAGTAATCGATTTAATATGACTCATCCCTTCATTGCAAAAGGAACATGTACTGAAATAATGAAAATCTGTTTTTCATTCTAAAAACACACTGCAAATGGTTACTGTACTACTACTTAAGTATTCTCAGGGAAAGAAACAAAGGACATGTATAATAATAATTTGCAATCAATAGTCATTGACATGTAAACAAAATCATGCTACAGAATATCCACAAACACTGGAAAATGTTTTACAGTGAGTGTTGGTATGCAAACATAGTCACGACCAGATTCTCCCTGTAACAAACCTTGATTTAACTTTTGAGAGTGGTAAACATGTGAGAGTGATAAATACTACTGTGAATATTTTAATCATATGAAATCATGTTTTCAAAATGAACATCTATGACTTTTGTACAAAAAGGACACCAATACCTTCATAAAAATAAACAATTAAAAATTCATCATATGGTTGTGAAAGAAGTGAAAATAAAGATTATCCATTCTTGTCATACACTACCACAAAAGAAAAGTCGACCTGACTAAATTTCAATTTTCCTTCTGTTTCATCACCAATAATGACATGAAACAATGTGTAATATGCCATGTGTATTCTCTCAAAACACTGCACAGCCTTTGACATACAAAACAAGATCAACATTAACGAGTTCTTACCTCGAAGGTATACTTTATAGAAACTGATTACAAGTAATCACACAAGCAGTGAGACATTGAACATTTCCATCTGCAATAAATACAATGCATGCCTCCCATGTTTCATCACACTTTGTGCATTTTCCCTGTACAATAACAATGCTCATAGCAGCCCACATCATTGAATATTTCAATAACATATACAAATATTAGTATGGTAACAGGGATTGGGATAGAGAACTTTGACAATGGGCCATGTTCAGCATTAATAGCCATTTTCGGAATTTAGAATGGGCCACTGCCCTTGTATCAATAGTAAACTTCAAAATTTGAACGGGCCATTTTATATTCTAATGTGCAAAATGGCCCATGGCACCTGCCTTTCCCAATCCCAGGGTCATGTGGGAAGATATGCATGGACAGTTCGGTCATGGGGCATCTGAGATTTATCTTGTACTTAGCTCTGTACTTTGGGGCAGGAATGGTGACATAGCACAGAGTTGGATTATATAAAAGATGGAGAATGAAGGTATGATAGCATATAGCTTGATTCATTAAAAAAAGATGCTTATCATATAACAAAGAGGAACTTTTTTGTCATGTGTGGTCCTGTTGTGTAAAAGTAAAGCATTTTCTAAATTAAACATTAGAGTCAACAGGTCCATGTCATAAAATAATGTTGGGGTCCCATCATTCAAACACTGTCAATGTTTAATTTTAATAATTGTTCAATATTGTGTATGATAAGGATAATACAGAAAAGTTTGTTCTTTGTTACTCATGGAGCTTAACAATATTCCTGCCATGTGGTGAAAGCCTGTAAATGATCAATAGGACAGACCAAATATCAATACTGTGAACAACGGTTCACGCCATTAAAGTTCAAAGAGAAACTTTCAAGTGACCCAGTGCTGCCGCATTACCAGGAAGGGGCTTCACACACGTGGGGATTCAAACTTGGGTCTTCAGCGTGACGTGTGGACGCTTTAACCACTGGGCTACCCCATCACCCCTAATTTTGTAACAACAAGGCACATACCCTATGACACGAATTCAGTTCCCATTATTTGTCAGTGGGCTCAAAACTAATTGCAAACATGCATTCATTACCAATGTGATTACCTGGTGATTTATCTTTATCCATTGTTAATCAGACAGATTCACCAATGCATATATATATGCACCTTTTCCACGTCAGCAGATATGCTCAAGGCGCAACAATGACAGATTAAAAGAGTCTCCAACATATATACAGCAATATGTACACGTCCAAATAGAGTTCCTAATAATACATAATGCAATGACTTACTGTGGTGACCATAATCATTCATGGAGAAATTGTTGATATACAATATATTTTCAAAAAGCAAAATTCTAAACAGTTGGAAGTCATATTATTAACATATATTGAAACTATGGTCAGTAATGACATATCAAAAAAAATAATTTCCTCATGCTAACTTGTGTGTTGTTGCACAACCGATAACAAAATGTATAGGGCTGGGACGATTCACCGATGCACAGATACATCACGATAGATTCTAGTTTGATACAGCTATCGTGTCGTCGACTGGTGTATCGATACACAACTTTTTTCCAAAACAGTATTATCTTAAACATGTTAAAGTACTTATTTAGAGTAAAATATGCAAGTATGATAGAATTACTTGTTAGTTTTTACAATAGTGTTATTGTTATACACAAATACCTTGAAATAAATCATTTTAAATCTAAATACTGTCATTCTTTCAAGGTGTATGTATCATGATATGTATCGTATTGCAGGGAAAATATCGCAACATAGTGTATCGTCCCAGCCCTAAAAAATGTATGATCCGAGTCCCACAATTGGGCCTTACATTTCAAACAATTTTTAATTTTTTTTAAAAATAACATAATCTGAAAATAACGAAGATGTTCCGAAAACGTAGTCGTGTCCTCAACAGAGAGGCTATGTGAAACAAACTGTTTTGATTCCTCTGTGGGATGAACGTACAGCTGTGATCAACATTAGGAACTGAAATCATGGCCTCTAATGTAAGATATAAACTTCAGAGTAACTGGTTTGAATATAGTGAGATATTACAGCAGTAATCATCAATTGTAAAAAGAGAGACCCCTTAGTTTCAAACTTCCAATCATTGCCATAGCATGATAAGCGTGAATTAATCTCACTGCTCAATTTGGTATGGATGAAATTTTGATTGATTGTGTCACATTACTAAAACTTGGGGTAACATACACATAAATTCATATACGAACACCACAAGATATATTCCCTCACACAAATGTACAGTTTTCGAAAATGTTTATGCCTTCACCGTGTTCCATGAGAAACTAAGTCATCGAAATCACGTATACGTCAAAACATGCAAGCTGACACATTTCGATGACTGCTGACCTCTGAGGTCAAGTCATTCATGATGCTGGGTCACATTTGAGAATGACGTGAAAGAGCAACGAAGTGTCATTCCACGCCTCAAACAAGCACGCAACAATAATAATGATTGAAATATATCTGATATGTTATATTCCCGATCAGAAAATGCTTTAATCGAATATGACTAGCTGACAGATGTGAGAACAAGTTCAATATTTTCCCCATTACACACCTCTTCTCGTCGCTTCTGCCATCGTCCACATGGACTCTCTTCTAATACTTCGCTTTCATCTTCAGATTCATCTCCGCTGTCAGGTTTTGTTGGATGGCTTTCTTGTTCTGCCTCTGTCATACTGTGAGGCCGATAAAGCCAAGAACCACCGATTATACTCTAATTTTCGGCAAACAATTCAGTACTCCAACTATGACAAACCTGTCTTATTCAGACGACTGCGTATGTACATGCTGCTAGCGTTACAACAAACTGTAAATGTTTCGACGTCACAAAGACTGTTTGGCGACTTCCTAATAATAAGTTTCAGATGATTATACTTCATAATTTTTCAACGATGTTTAAATATCACAAAATATGAAAACATCATTTAAAGCATAGTTAAACAATCAAATTAGGCCTACTTCAAACAAACAGGTGCATTACAAATAGGAACTAATTACCCGCGTTGCGTATACACAACGATCAAGGTGAGAGTAGGTAAACAAGTAATAAACAATGGGTCGGCAAACAAAAAAGCTAACAGGTGTTTGTATTGGATACATTGTTATTTGTTTTAAATTCACTCACCCAACAGGGGCGGATACAACTTTTAGAGAAGTGTGTGTGTGGGGTGGGGGGTTACATAGTTCATTTTCAAGAGCGTTTCGATGGTCAGTTAATAAACGTTCAGGTCAAAGGGATCCGCCTGTGCGGAAGTACAACCGTTGTCGATATAATACATAAATAGATTAGCAGTGATTACTGGTTTATGCTACTGAATATACACAACATTAATAGGTTTTTAAGCACACATCAATTATTGTTATATGTGCCTACAATGAAAGGATTTAGAATAGAATAGAATAATACTTTAATGCCTTTTCAGGAATTTGTGTTACATCAGCAGAGCTACTGACACATTAGAGAGATACAAAACATATTAAAAAAAATTCGTTGATTTAGGTATCTTCACATTTGTTTAAGAGAGATATGGTACTTGGAATAAAGGATGTACAGGCTCTCTTAGTTTTTCACAATTAAGTAGTGAGTACGGTCAGATATGATTTTGACAGCTTGATTCACGATTTGCCGCTCATATATTGATGATAAACATTCAAATCTGACTCCAGCGATTTTACTTGCAGTGTTAACAATTTTGTCTATTTTAGATTTGAGATGAACTGAGAGAGACCCGTGCCAACAATGGAAGGAAAATTTTAAAATACTCTAATAAATGCTACATAAAAAGATGACATCACAGATGGGTTAACATTAAAAGATCTCAGTTTACGCATGAGCCGAAGACGTTGTTGACACTTTTTGTATAGTGCTTTAGTGTTAGAGTTCCAGTTCAGCTTAGAGTCAATGAAGGTTCCCAGATACTTATACTCCGACACTGTCTCAACACATTCACCGTTGATTATCACTGGAACGTTTCTGTGGGTTTACTCCGAAAGTCAATTATCAGTTCCTTTGTTTTTGTGACATTTAAGAGTAAGTGGTTTTCTGCACACCAAGTCGTAAGATGATTAATGTCCTCTTTATACAGTTCTTCAGAATCAGTGTCGTTCAGTTTGCCGACAATTGCTGAATCATCTGCGAACTTTACAGTTGAACAGGTTGAATTCCAACTTGCACAATCATTAGTGTAGAGGGTGAAAAGAACAGGGGGTGGGCACCACCCCTCTGGATCCGCCTGTGCGGAAGTACAACCGTTGTCGATATAGTACATAAATAGATTAGCAATGATTACTTATCTATCTATCTATCTATCTATCTATCTATCTATCTATCTATCTATCTATCTATCTATCTATCTATCTATCTATCTATCTATCTATCTATCTATCTATCTATCTATCTATCTATCTATCTATCTATCTATCTATCTATCTATCTATCTATCTATCTATCTATCTATCTATCTATCTATCTATCTATCTATCTATCTATCTATCTATCTATCTATCTATCTATCTATCTATCTATCTATCTATCTATGCATCCATCATCCTATCTATCTGTATTATACATCATAGGCGGATCCAGAAATTTTCAAAGGTGGGTCGATCATAGGCGGGGTCGGTCGCGGGTGAGGTGGGGGTCGGTCACTTTTCCGGAACCAGCAGAAAGGTGCATGTCCACGGATATTTCATTGTGTAGTCTATAAAACGGTCATAACACATTTAAGTGATTTAAAACAATAAATAATTATTCAAATAAAAACAACCAATACGCACGTAAAAATGAAGAAAACATTTATCTGATACACACAGAAACTGTCAATACAGTTGTTTGCTTTTTGTGTAACGCCACTCAGCAATATTGCAGCTACATGGCGGCGGCATGACATGGGTAGCCGACATGGGTAATTCGACCTGCGCATACATGTGATACAATGACGATAAGGACACGCTCAACTCCCAGATTGCGAGTATGAAAACCCGTCACACGACACAAGCGTCTGTCTGTTATTCGCTTGATATTCCACGAAACATTAAGAAACGTACCATTTATATTTGGGGCTTTTGGTTTTTTACTCAGTGAATGAGGCTTTTTTGCATGAACATTTGTAATGATCTATATCATTGCAGATGCAATATAGGCACAAGCTTCTCGGAGTGAAGCATCAGGCTATTTCTGACAAGATCCCCATGTAATCACCATAAAATACACTGCAATACTAAGTATACAATACTAATTAAGTGATATGTTACTGATTTGTGTATCCAAACTGTGAAACACATGCAGATTAAGCATGTCTTCACGATTCGTTAAAACATGAAAAATCAAGGTAAAACAGGACAATGTCCTGACCTATAGACTTTTAAATAGTGAATTTTAATCCACTTTAACGAATTAATTATCAACACAATATTGTTAGTTTGAATCTAAGATGTAGAGTCATGTTGCCTCAGACAACACCTTCTGTCGCATATACTTCGAATTAGTTGATGCGAAGATGCTTTTGTTTCTGCGGTCCTACAATCAATTTTATGCGTTGATTTGATAATGCTCACAATACCAAAACAATATACTACTTAAATACTACATTACTGATTATATTGTAGTGTTAGCTGATGCTGAATGGAGGACATCTTTGACGACAATTTAAAAAATATAATCAATCATTTACGAAACACCCTTTTAGTCCGTAGTGTACGTCACGTGACACAGAATATGTACCCGCGAAGTGAGAGAAGGAAAACACACGTGTTGTAGATCGTTGTAATTCATCGGAGAATGACATTTTGTGATTGTGTTTAGAGCACTAAGAAGAAGATGGGTGTCTATTTGTCCTCGCCAATTACAGACAAAATATCTATCGACAATTCGTGCAAAAAGTTCAAATATGGAGCGTCATCAATGCAGGGATGGCGAATGACTCAAGAGGTGGCCATCTTCCCTTTTGTTCGGTTAAAGATTTCTAAATAAATCTGTCAAACAGGCATGATTTCTGAAACAATTGTGTTTTGCATGTAGATTATTGTTTGTATTTTGTAAATATTGCCTAGTTCATGCTTTGCCTGACACTAATTTTGCTTGTCATGCCAAAATGTATGTCACTCATTGGCTCCATTTTTCAAACATCTGAGGCAATGTTTCATTACATTGGAGCTTTCATTTCTCAGAATTATACATAATTTATACTCAGCAAATGTGTGAAAAGTGTAGAGGTCATCAGTAGTTTTCACGCAAAGAAAACATTTGTTGCTGTTAACTAAACTACAAAGCTGTTTACTTTCTCAATAATGATATGAATAGTCACACTGTTCTGATTGTGTTTATGACTGGAATATTTTCAGTGATAAGTGTTGCATTTATGTAAGTTTAGTAAAAGGAATATTGTGACAGGGGATGTTTTCAAAGACGAGTATTTTTTTTGCCGAGATAATAAATTTGGCATTGTAGGACTAATTATACATCTAGCACTGAATGGTGCAAGGAATTTGTATTAAAATAGATTTGCATTTTCAGATTGCTTTATATAGATCATTGTCCTTGTGACCATCAAATGGTCAAGTCTGCATTGTCTCATAAGTCATAGTATGAATTATCAATATATCAAACACTTTCTGCAGTATTGCATCATGTTTATTTATAGCTGTAGATGAAGAAAAGGTACCTAACCCAGTGTAGGAGAAAGCATATGTCATGTAGGAATGTAACAGATTGTCCTTGAAGTTTTCATGAAGCACAGTAAATGTGATATTTATCATGAATTTCTACAGAAATTTAATTCTTAAGTCTGTGCTTAAACAGAATTTAATAAATGGTAAGGGACCTAAATCATCTGTTTTCCTGGAATGGAATGTGATGAAAGCCTGTGATTACTCAAACTGAAACTATGATTGGTATTATATATCTTTCTAAAAGATGGTATTGTTATTTCTCCTGTGAATGCCTTTGTACACTAAAGCAATGCTCACTCATGTTAATCTTACAGAAAATGTTATTACTATTGGAGTATATTGTGCAGAACAGACATGCTAGTCAAATAGGGGAACGGAAATGTAACGGAAATGTTTGCATTTCAGGATGCCCACAATTGTTTGCCAGATTTTGAAGAAGGAAAGGAGGGAGCTTTCTTTGCTGTTTATGATGGCCATGGTGGTAAGTTGTGAATCTGTCTCTTGGGGGTTGGCTTTAAAGTGACAAATGACAAAGTTAAATCAGTAAATTGCTTATTAACATTTCTATTGTTTTTGTATTGGGAGGTTTAAACATGAAGGAACCCATCTCAAAAAAGTAATATTCTAATGCGAGATACCCAATTTATTTAAAGTTTTCATTTTTGGTAAATGCTTGCACAAATTCTTGATACATTATGTAAAATGCTTTACACTTATATAATCTCTTAACTTCGCAAAGAAAAGTGCTCTGAGCTACAGATAACTTTTTGGGTCATTGAGTTATGTACTCGCTTGTGTTCATCTCAGTTGGGTATCCCAATTTTCCTTTGAGTAACCAAATAAGTTGTACCCACCTCACTCAAACTTAATTGAGTATTTTGCCATTTTCCGTTAATTGTAAAAGTATAATAAGTTTAAATGTTGGTTTACATGTTTGTTATTTATAGTTGATCAGTAGGATGAGAAATGATAAGAAAGACTGCAAGTTGCCAAGTTCATGTGCTAAAATAGAAGCTCTCAATGTACCTCAGTTATTTGATCTATCCTCAGTAACCTCCAAACTAAGATTTGTGTTATGCATGTGGGGCGGTGGGGTAGCCTAGTGGTTAAAGCGTTGGCTCGTCACGCCGAAGACCCGGGTTCGAATCCCCACATGGGTACAATGTGCGAAGCCCATTTCTGGTGTCCCCTGCCGTGATGTTGCTGGAATATTGCTAAAAGCGGCGTAAACACCAAACTCAGTCAGTGTGTGTTATGCATGTAAGATAAAATTTAGTGAGTATTTACAAAAATTGTAAGCAGCATACTTAATAGGAATTGAGTTTTCACCTAAGTATTTGCGTAATTTACGCAGATACGCAGCTTATCTCTACCTCTGAGTGCTATTCGAACCATTTTAGCTTTTGCCAAAATAGCTTGAAAATCTCATCATAGTGAAATCAGATTTCAGAAGCATCAGTATGAGGAGTCACAGCTTCTGGTGAAAGCAGTATTCATTTAATCACTCAGTATGAACTTGCTCAAATTGCAGGCTGTATTGTCATGGTTCTTAAAAAGTGGATAGAAAAGTGAAAAGATTTTCTTGGTAAGCATTTGGTTGATTGTTTCAGGTGCTGAGGTTGCTCAGTACTGTGCCATGCATTTCCCCGACTTTGTGAAGACCGTAGAAGCCTACAAAGAGGGAAACGTCAAGCAGGCTCTGGAAGATGCCTTCCTCCAGTTTGACAGCACTCTGATTCAGGAGAGTGTTGTAAAGGAGCTGAGAGCCCTTGCTGGTGATGATGATCGCAATGCAGAGGAGGAGGAAGGCAAGTAATTGTGTTGTCAGTTTGCTAAGACGTTTTAAGTTAACAATGGGAAGAGTAAGTCAGAAGTAACTGAGAGGATTCAGGGAAAGGAGGTATTTCCTGGGCCAGAAAGGGAGATACAAAAAAGCTCAGTCTTTCTTGAGGTTTTGGCTCTTTCTGAATGTTTCTTAATGTATGTTATATGGTAAGATGTTTTGTCCAGATGGTTTTGCCTTTTCGAATTTGTTCAATAAAAATCTGGGGCTGTGGGGTAGTCTAATGGTTAAAGCGTACGCTTGTCAAGCGTAAGACTCATGTTAAATTCTCCACATGGGTACATATTCTAACTCTCCAATTTAGTTATGACTTTTCAAGATATTAAAATAATTTTTCTTTCAGATGGTGCTGTGCCAGTTGGCAAGACAGAGGCTGACCTTTTGCGCCAGGAAGCTAATATGCCTCTCGATGAACTGTTGTCAAAATATGAAGCCGCACCACCAGGTGCAGGACCACTCAGAGATATCCGCAAACAGCAAGGAGAGAAAGTTCTCTCCCCTTCCATCAGACCCAAGAAGAAAATATTCGGGGATGAGACCAAGGAAGCTGATTCCTCTGTGAGGACTGGGCAGCTGCTCGGTGACGGAGACGGTGACAGTAGAGAGAACAATGCAAACAGTAGCGAAGACTCGAATGTTAACAACAGTAGCATGTCCCGCTGTCCTATGTCTGCGAACATAGAGGACAAGTTAATCAATGGACATGCGGACAATGAGAACAATCTGAACAAAGAGAAAGAGATTCAGGACAGTTTGAACCAGCAGCAGAGGGGGGATGCTGGGGGAGGGGCACAGAGGAATGAGGAGGCAGTGTCCTCGTCCTCCAGTATTGATGGAGTAGAAGATGGTGCTCAGAGAAAGGAAGGCGGTGATGGACATATTACGTCTCAGTCCACTGATCGAGTTGTGTCCCAATCCAGTGATCGGACCACAAGCTCCGTGCCTGGGGAGGCTGATGCATGCCAGGTGAAGGCAGCAGATAGTGGTAGTGCATCTGCTGGGAGTTCCTCTAGTTCAGTTGGTTGTTCGAGTTCGGCAGGGAGTTCGTCAAGCTCAGCTGGTGCTGGACCATGTTCCAGTTCAGTAGATGAGGTATGGTATTGACTAAGAGAAGGAGTTATGTATTATATTGATTTGAAAATTATTCTCTGGTGGATGCTATTTAGTTCACTCCTGTTTTTATAGGATGCATGTCGTCATTGTACATGAATTGTGCACATATCAATAGCTGGTTGTCATTTCCATAATTGGATTATTTACAGGATCTGTCATATGACAGGAATGTAGCAGAGTGAAATGTCAGGCAACAAACATGTAAAACTGTATTTGCCAATTTAGGGCAGAAAGGATACAGCATGGTGATGATATATGTATCACATGCGTAGGTCATAGTAGGTCACATTATGATATGTAGGTCACATTATATGTATCCAGAATGCATAGGTATATGTGATATACATGCCACAATATGTAGGCCATATTATATGAAACACAATACATGTATCACAATGTTTTATCATATTATTTTATTGTTTAGCTATTTACACAGATCAATGATATGATACATATGGCAATACAGAGATCATGATATGATACATATGATAGGATACATATCGCAATACAGAGGTCATATGATGATATGATATTCTAGTATGATTTCACTTCCAGATATTCTAGTATGATTTCTTTTTTCCCCCTACTGTAACCAAATGAATTGGTTGCACCATGGATATTGGCTGTACCATGTTAATCAACAATCCAATCAATCCAATCACTGTCGCTGACAGCAGTTGATTCCCTATCAGCAGACTGAGATGGATGCTCATCATGTTCATGGCCAACTTCATTATCGCCAGAATTGTTCACAATACTACATGGCTGAAGAAAGTTTTGACAGATGTTTGCTTTCTGACATTTTCGTTAATAGATTTAATTTCTATTCCGCTTGATCAGTTGGCAAAATCAACTTGCCCACCATTACAAGTAACATAATACACATTGACCACTGAGTGAGGTTAGTTTACGCCGCACTCAGCAATATTCCAGCTATATGGCGGTGGTCTGTAAATAATCCAGTCTGGACCAGACTATCTGGTGATCAACAGCATGAGCATCAATCTGTGCAATGGGGAACCGATGACATGTGTCAACCAAGTCAGCGAGCCTGACCACCCGATCCCGTTAGTCACCTCTTACGATAAGCATGGGTTACTGAAGATCAATATTCTAACCCGGACCTTTACGAGTACATTGACCACTGACCTTCCATGAAATATCAAACGATTGTGTACATAGAGTGTGGTCTAGGTAATATATTTATGAGCATGAAAACAGTTTTTAACTTCCAGTGCACATGGTAGAAGACTTATTTTTAACGAGCATTTTATACCAATGTACTTCAGGTGGAAAATGTTAACTGCATTGGGTGCATCCTTACAATGAAAGATACCTGCACTAGCAATATTTTACCTGCACTAGCAATATTTTACCTGCACTTGTGCAGACTGGAGATAATGAAATCAATCCCTGTATGAAAATGCTTGATAAATATCTTTCACAGCATGTTCAAAGGAAGTAATAACTGAAAACATATTTGTTGTCAATTTTATAGTTTGGCAAGAACTTGAAATTTTAATTACAATACATGTCGCCATATTTGACCAACATTAATGGGCAAGGGGGATAATTAAACAAATAGTTATTTAAAAATTTAATAAATTTATTTGTCCCATTTATTCTGCTGGTGCAGTGGTGCATACTTTCACCCCAACTTGTCATTGCACATTTAATGGTATTCAGCTTGTAAGTCATAACATTGTTTCCAATTGTACAGTATTCATATTTTACCTTCTTTACCAGTTTTTAGTAATGGGAATCGGAGACCAAATCCAATATCGAATATCAGAGGACTTGTGGTGAACAATTATCAATTATAATCGAAAAATATACATTTTTAATGTAATCTCCAATTTTAAGGTTTTTTCCCCAGGTTTTTTTCTAATCAACGTTTTTTTATAACTAATACTGTCATGCAATGAAATGCATGCATGCAAGTAAGACACTGGAATTGTAATTAAACAATAAAAGTGGTTAAATTTTACAATGCGCATCGCTTTACGCTGTTAAACGCATGTTTGTTTGTGAATATTCATCAAATTAAATGGTTAGTATACTTAATTCAAGGTGTTATACAAAAACAATATTCTGATTTATCAAGATATTTTTTTACAATCGATAATCATTTTTAATCCTCCTTTTGACTGATTTTCGATTTTTTTCGATCATCGGAACACCACTACCAGTTTTAGCCAAGATATAGTTGTAGTGTAAAATTGTATTTAATAATGTGCTCAAAATGATTGCACTATTTTGTGATATATATGCTAGTGTGTTTGTGGCTGTTATACATTTCTGGTGTCCCCATCACGTGATGTTGCTGGAATATTGCTAAAGCTTAAACTCAGTCAGTCAGTCTGTTATACTGGACTTCATTTGTTAGTTTTGTGGTGCCAAGTATGTGAAGTTGCATCAACATTCCTGTTCTACGAACTTTGAATATATTCCAGAATATGTTAGAAAGTACGAAATGTGTTGTCACAAGTATGAATTTAGGTGACTATACCAAATTGGATATTTTGTCACTGGCCCATCAGATAATTTAATTGAACAGTCTGTTTTATTGTGGAAAATATCATGTTCTGTGTGGAATGTTTTAGCCCTGCACGTCTGGTAGTGGAGCAAGCAGCAGTGGCAGCAGCAATGTGGAAGGGGAGCCTGGGCCAAGTGGCAGCGGCAGCGGTCGTAGTCCTGGTGGCATCTTGGAGGCAGACAGTGATGATGACGATGCTGATGAGGATGATGATGAAGAATATGAGGAAGAGAGGTAAACTATCCATTTTTACTATTCATCTCTTTAGTTTTGATAGAAGATGAATATTGTGTGATTATTGTTTTGCACTGTTTTTAGCAATAGTTCAGCAAAATCATGGACATGGACACCAGAAGTGGGAACCACACATTGTAAACAAGTGGAGAATTGAACCTGCGTCTTTTGGTCATGAAGAGCAAACACTTTAACCACAATGCCACACCACTGCCCCAGAAAAGCAAAATGCAGAAATTCTAACTCTCCAAATGTTATACTTTAAGGGTTTCATTTTTGTAAGATTTCAGTGTTTTACCAATCAGGAATTTCAGGTGTCATTGACATTACTAAAAGATCATTGAAAAATAAAAGAGATCCTTATTTTGATTGTATATGACCCCCAACAGGGTTCGAAATCTACGCTTAGTCCGGCTAGCCCAAGGTTAGTAAATCTCCCGGAGGACTACCAAAACATCTAACAGTACTAGTCCGGGGCTACCTGGCAGTAGTCGATCTCAAAATGATATATGACTTTAGGAACCTAACTAACATGATTCATTAATTAAATCTATCACTTTTCACAATGTCTGAAAACACTTATTACATTACATTACCATATATTATCGACAAACTTAAAATTAAAAGCTAATTTTCGCAATGTTATTGAAAAAACAATTCTCGACACATGCTTCGCAACGGTCCACATCAAAGTTGTCAAAGAGCAAAGTAACGATGTTTCGAGATGATAATTAACCAAATTGAATAAATTGAAGAATATATTCAATAACGCGGTACTCATAAAAGTTGTCAAACCTACATTATAACTTACTATTCCCATCTTTATTGTGCGATCGTGTAATGTAATTCAAGTGACATCTCGGCTCTCTTCACCTCGAACCGTGCTCGGACACGATGTTTAAAGCTAAAAATATGCATGAAGCATTTTTGTCACAGGTCATAACCTAGCACGATATACGCCCACTAAGGTCCAGAATGTACGTGATAGGTAGTGATCTTGTGCGCGTAACATCGCTCAGAATAGCATGGATTTACCCAAAACTTTCGCCTGAATCTAAAAGTTTTCGCCATTTATGGGCGGTATCCATTGCTGTAATATGATTGGCTGCCTTAGGTCACGTGGTGTGATTTTGACCAATCACAATACTCGTGAGCAGACTGTGACAGAAAAGCGTCATTAGAAACCAATCTTTAACCAATCAAATCGCTTCTACAACTGTGAAAATACTCTTGGCAAGGTTATAGTGATATAGTTGATGTTCAGAGCTTTACGGCGATACCCGCCATCAAACGAATCGCATCACATGTTTTTTATACGAAGCTTCAAAACGGATGTATTTCCCACTGTTTTGTATCACGTTACCGAAAGGAAAGCCACTGGTATCGGGGAAATAGGCTTACCATACATATTATTTGAGAAATATCTTGTAATAGCTTTCCGATTAAGTAAAACATGAAAAATAGAAAAAGAAAACGTAAGGGGATAATTATGTAATGCTACAAATTGAAAAAAAGCCGCATTGTTAGCTTCCTTCGTGGTTTATCTGGACATAATAAATGTGTAAGCTTGCATTTTCATTAATTATTTACTTATTTACGCTTGTAGTTGTGTTATCTGAATAATATGATCATATCCATCTGTCATGACTGAATTAAACTATGCCAAAACATATTGTGTATGTGTTTGTTATGATACCACACCTCTGCTAATACTGCTTGACTACGTCAAATCCCAACAGTCTTGGATGCATGAATCCTCGCCATAACCCTCCAGTTGAAACTAGAAAATGGGGCACAAGTGCCCCAGTTGTCCCAGGGTCTGCGGTTCACTGCAGAGCTGTGTCCTTTGGGCACACCAGAAACATTAATGTCTAGGTTTGTCAGCTCTACAGGTGTGGGTTTCACCCAAGTGGTAAATGTTCCACACCTGCATCACCTTAAGCTTTCCTGACATTAACCTGATATTGCTTGTGATTTCAGGGTTCGAAATACCCCATACATTAGTGTGCCATGGCACGGTAAATACAGAAATGGCACGGCTAAAAAATGTTCTCGGTGCCCTTTTGACACGCCTAATTTATTAAGAGACATAACTCACATTTAGTCATTTAATCCCCAAAACAATTATTTTTTTCCAAATTGAATAATGCCATGCATATCTGAATGCTCATAAACTCATTTCTTTATTTAACAATAAATTTCAAATGATCATCATCGTTGTCATTTTTTCTAAAAACTTGTGGGCATACTCGATTTCAGAAAGGCACACCTAAAATATTTGTCTGGTGCCTTAAGGCACATTTAGAAAAAAAAGTATTTTTATCCCTGGATTTTATGTAGAATACTGTTGAAAGTGGCATTATGTATTATTGCCCTATTGTAGTGATGATGAGGAGGAAGAGGAAGAGGAGGAAGAAGAAGAAGATGGGGAGGAAGAGGAAGGAGGGTACATAAATAACCCAAGTATGGACATGACAAATGAAGAGGTGAGATAATCGGGATAGGGCTTGAATTTCTAAAATTGCTGTTTCCCACTGAAATCCCAGGCCCTTCTGCTTACCTTTTGCTAGCCTTTGGATACCTTAAACATTTTGACAGACTGACTTTGGCTTGCAGGTTTGTGCTGGTTTGTTTCCCATCTTTTGAATTTTCAATCAGATTTGGTTTTGGGAATAATATCGTTTATATTCGAATCAATCCTGAATTGTTCATGATCTTTCTAGTATCTGAAATGCTTTATATTATGACAAGAAATCAGCTCTGTGGATGCAAGCTAGATTGTTCACTACATGGATGTTGAGTTTTCGATGCCTTACCTTTCAGCCAGGCTCTGACAGTGGTTGCACTGCCTGCGTTGCACTGCTGCTAGGGAAGCAGTTATATGTCGCCAATGCTGGAGACTCGAGATGTGTGCTGAGTCGAAATGGAAAGGCGGTTGATCTGTCATTCGATCACAAACCAGAGGACATACCAGAGCGAACACGTATTGAAAAAGCTGGAGGGAAGGTGACCTCAGATGGGAGAGTCAATGGTGGTCTTAATCTTTCTAGAGCTCTTGGTAAGTTGTCCTTTTTGATGTGGTTACGTGGGGAATAAGTAGGGCTGTGTATCGGCACAAAGATTGCATGGCAGTGATGAGGGTATGTGTGTTGTGATGGATATTGAGATGTAGTGGGTGTTTATCTATTTGACAGTGATGGACACTAATTGTCCATTCAGGGGTACTTTTTTACACACTAAAGTAAGTGTTATGATGTTTGGTAACTTGCCACCATTTTGTAGCCATGGATACAAGGGAAACAAATGTGAGGAAAAGAATCACTTTTTTGTTTTCCGTCTATTTTTTCAATTTGCAAGGAAAATTTTATTTGTGAATGAACAAGAGTGTAGATTTTAGGTGTACAATGCAAATAATACAAGACGTTACATGTATTTCTTTACCAACTGTACTGAAACCAAACATATTACAGAACTGTAACCTAACTTCTAGGATAGCCTTGATTTGTGGGATCGCGGTAATTATCATGCCACCTCGTAAATTAAGTCTCATATGACGTCACAAAGCGATACTTTTGATGTACGTACAATGCCACGCCTTGCTGACAAAAATGTTCCGCATGTCTGCATTACACGTTAATACACTAAATCTAATTGTCAAGCACTTGGATGAGAGCCCAATATCACTAATGCCACCAATACCAAATTCTATTTTTACAAAATGTCAAGTAAAAAAGATACTGTTAGAACCAACCTTCTTGCATCTCATTGTATGTTTTCCAAGGTGTCAATACTTACTGCAATGTCGTACATAGTGATATATTGTAAACAACTACCTAATCCAAGAAACAAGGTGACGTCACGTGTGGGCACACGAATGGGTAATGATTGCAAATGGCTTCGTTAAACAAACATTTCATTCACGAGTGGAATATTAGGCATTTTCAATTTGCTGAATCAATGAATTAAATAATCAGTGAGTGTACAGAATGAAATTGTGCATTTAAGATATGATTTTCGCCACACTTCCCTTATATCCACGAATCAAGGTTATGTGAGTAAAGTATGTCCAGTCCAAGGAATGGATGGCCATACTGGAAAAGGTTTTGCCTCCTTGGTTTGTTGGTATGATACTTGTGCTTGTTTATCTCTCCGAAGTGGTAGAGATAGATGTATTTTCTTGCAGATGTAACAGAGGCCCAGATAAGCTGCGTATCCGGGTAAAATACGCATAGAATATTTCCAATTACGCATTGAAAAATAATTGTTGCGTACCAATTACGCATTTAAAATGTTAGATAGGCAAAAAGTTTAAAACAAATGCGTACGGAATATATTTATGTAAAAATCGCTTGTGTAATGAAACACCTGTTAATATAGGACAAGTGTTGTACTGTCAGTATAGGATGAGTGATTTTTTTATGAAATCATTTCCATTATATTTAAGTTGGTTTTGATTAGGTATGACATGAAGCAGAACATACCTGCATAGTAAACTTACTCAATAACGTAATACTTAGGTGAGTAATTAAATACGCACATATTTGAAAGCAGTGGGTAACGGAAAATGAAATACCCACTCAATATTCATAATACCCACTCCAAAAAAATACAGTGGGTACAGTACCCACATGAGCTAAATCTTATCTTGAGCTCTGGATGTAAAGTGAAATTCTCATAAATTATATTCAAGAATTCTCTTTTGTTATAAACCTTACTCGAGCTGTAATAATTATTCAGCAAGGACAAGGCTGTGGCTGGTAATAAAATTACATCTGAACTTTATGATTTAGTAAAATTAGGTGTTTATCGTTTATCATTTATTGTTAAGGTTTGTAATTTGACCAGTGTCTTCATCCATTCTTGTAGGAGATCACTTCTACAAGCGGAACCATGAATTGTCCCTGAGAGAACAGATGATCACATCTCTGCCTGACATCCATGTCACGACCGTACAGGAGGAGGACGAGTTCATGGTGCTGGCCTGTGATGGAATATGGTTAGTGTCATGCTGTGATTGCAGTTACTGCTATTGAGCTGCCAGATGTACTAAATAGTCCTCTGCCAAATGCTGGAAAAGTCCCAATCTTTTAGGAGCAGTAAAAGTGTTAACCAGTAATTAGTATGACACCTCCCACTGTCCAGAAATTCTTGTTGTTATGGAACTAGCCACATAATGATGTATCAGGTTACTAAATACAAACAAGGTTTATGCCAGTGCTGAAGCAGTGGCCACACACAGACCAACTGCATGAGTGTTAACCACTTGGTGACAAGCAATGGTGTTCAACATGGTCAAGATATGCAGTATGGGCGATAAGGCCGGGTGTATCATATTACCTGATTTTGATGCTATCTCTACATTTAGCCTACATCGTTTGACACAGTAGGCAATCCGGCATGCCATGGAAGAATCAATGTCCGTTTAACAGTAACAGGAAACAGCACTTGCAGTGGAAGTCACGGTGGCTGAGCGGGTTAGGCGGCTGACTTTGTGTGCTGGCGATTAGGTGCCTGACCCTGAGGGTGTGGGTTCGAATCCCGGATGGGGCTCAACTCAAAAGTACTAGAATTTGTACTTTACTAAGAAAGTGTAATCCCAAATATAACATGTTGCCTTGTTGCTGTTGCAGGAACTTCATGTCGAGTCAGGAGGTTGTTGACATGGTTAGGCAGAAGCTGAGTGATCCAGTCAAGAGAGAAAAACCATCCCTTGTGTGTGAAGAGGTAATTGTACCAATCGTTATACCACTAGTTATGGCTTGAATTACATTGACAGTGTGTTTATTAGATTTCACTCGCTCTTGTGATTCAAATTAAGTGGTTTTGAAGTCAGAACAGACCCGGGAAGATCCGGGTTAGAATTGGTCTTCAGTAACACATGCTTGTCGTAAGAAGCGACTAACAGGATCGGGTGGTCAGGCTCACTGACATTGTATCCCATTTGCGTAGAACGATGGTCACGATGTTGATCACTGGATTGTCTGGCCCAGACTTGATTATTTACAAACCGATGCCTTATAGCTGGAATATTGCCGAGTTCAGCGTTAAACAATCAACCAACCAAAGACAGAAAAATATGGATTCAACATTTTGAAAATATATCTTTTTTCTTAATTTCTCATTTATGTTGATTGTTGTCACTGCTGTAAACTGTTAACATTTCATTCCAACAATACATTGCCTTAAATGCCTTTGATGCTTTTATTTCAGTTGTTCGATTACTGTTTGGCACCGAATACATTTGGAGATGGTACTGGTTGTGATAACATGACCTGTATAATTGTGACATTCAACAAGTCGCAAGATGATGCATCCGTACAGAACAATAAACGATGTGCCAATGAGATGGAGTCTTGCAGTAGTGATGAGAAACTAGACGAGAAGAAAGCTAAAGTGGAACCTGAAAGCACTCATGAAGACATGTGATCTTGGTGTCTTTTAACTTATTGTAGCCTTGTATATGTCCTCCTCTTTTAAGATACATGTGTTGTACATTTGATTTATGCTCTAGGAAACCTTGTTTCTTTTGTTGATATGACTCAATTTACGCATTTTGACAATATCAGAATGCTGTTTGATGTCTCAAAGACTGAAAATGAGGCCAGACTTTTTGTTTTTCATGGTTTCTGGAAAATGTTTATTGAGAATGTAGAGATTGTAAAAAAAATGTTTTTGTCCTGTTTAGTGTGTATCAAGAAGACTAAGAACTGAATTTGTACTTCCACTTATTGTACAAGATGTTTTCAGGGAATTGCTGTCCTAAACGATGTGTATAAACAATTGTTGAGTTGTAGTTGATGTAGCATAAAAATGTTTCATGTCTTGAGCATTTCTGAGGATATAGTTAAAACATTATCCCCAAAATATTCATGGTCACTATTGAGATTTGTTCACTAAGAACAGACTTTTTGAAATTTAACTCTAAATGAATTACAAGGAACTGATTGTTGTAAAACATCATCTCGAAACTCATGGAATGAGGCTTACAACGTTGTTGTCTCATAATCTCATATCTAAATACAGAAACAGCTTAATTTCGTTTTGGTGGCTTTGATGGTTATATGTGGTTTTAGAGTGTCAGTATACTTGCAAAATGAGATCAGTGGCATGTTTTGTTTACTTCCTTCATTATGAAATAGATGACTCTGAAACCATGACTTGCAAAAATCTGGCCTGAACCATAGTGATAGGTACAGTTCTATCCAGCTAATGTTTGGCATCTTCTGGCATTTTTAATATGGTCACTGCAATGTTCTGTTTCAAAAGCAATAATGTCATAGTGAAACATTTTGTCGTGTACATAATTAAATTTGAAATCTTCTGTCATACACTTTAACTTTTGAGTATTAATATGAGTAACAACTTGCCTACTAGAAGCAGGTGAGTGGCATAGTTTGGAATAAGTGAAATTAAAGAAAATATGAAAATGAGTAGGAAAAGTGATTATTACAAAATATATATTGGTGTTGCTTTTGTATGCTGGAGGGCGGTGGGGTAGCCTAGTGGTGTAAGCGTCCACTCGTCACGCTGAAGACTCGGGTTCGATTCCCCACATGGGCACAATGTGTGAAGCCCATTTCTGGTGTCCCCTGCCGTGATAATATTGCTAAAAGCGGTGTAAAACTAAACTTGCCCACTCACTTGTATGCTGGACATTTGTGGATTGAATTGTAAACATTCATGGTTTCATCGTTTCTTCCCCTCCCCCCCCATACTGATTGATTTCCACGAAGTTCTTAATTATGTCCTGTTTGGATGTATGTTGTGCATAACTCATTGTGAATAATCATTGCTTGTGTTCATGACCATCCACTATGAATTGTATTTGTTGTGAAAATTTCATTTCATAACTGGCATGAAATGCCCTAGTCGGATCATCCACCTGAAGTGCATCCCGGTGACGGATGTTCAGTGAGTGCATTGACAAAGTTCCTAGCTGTAGAGTAGACACGTGATGACTGATCAACCCCATACTACCATCAAAGAGCTGATCTCGCATTTGAATCAACCACGTATAATACTTGTCCTGTCAAGAAATTCCTCAAAAAAGCTTGTTATTTTAAAGGGTCGTTGGACGCCCAAGTTCTGAAGCAGCCAATCCCTTGCTTTTCTGTTTGAGTAGCTGCCACTGGCCTCCCTGTTCTATCCATGTATCACACCAATAAACCATTCCTGATGGGAAGCTATGAGTAACGTGAGTTTTGTAGCTGCCAGCTTGAGCTATTCATGCTTGAAGCTTGCTTAGTGTTATAGTGTGAAGATCTGTAACATTGACGGGTATAAATGGTTTCATCAAGGTGCCAATGACCCCTGTGATGGAATTTCAGTAATACAATGGAAGTTCAAAAGTGTTCAGGGGATGTGCCCTGTTACACGAAGTGATTATAGGCCAACCACTAGCCTAAGTTTGTTGAAGTATTTGAGTTACGACAATCCTTACCCTCCCATCATTCTATTTTTGAATGGGCCCAGGACGTCAAAGCTGAGATGGCGAAATAAATAGGTATCTGGGAAGCACTGCAATTTACTGGAGGCACTTTGTCCGATGTTAGTTAGTGGTGTGCAGAGGATCTAACTTAGTTCTTTAATGACTTTATCTAATCAGCCAACACCTTACCACAGACGCTATCACAAAGACCTTTTGCATGTTTGTCAAGTGATAGGTGCCACTGTTTACCCAGGTGTACACAGAGTCCTACGTATTTCCCTCTAATTACAGTGGATTTATTTGTTTTTAAAAAGGAGGAACTGGCTAGCTGGAACCTCATCTGACAATTCTTAGGATTGTAAAATGGTGCCTAAACCTTCTGATTGTACATAAGTGTTTCATTTGATAGAGGAATTGTGAAAAGGTGCTTTATCGCAAAGATCTTTGAATGGGGTTAAAGGCCAAGGATCAGATTTTCAATGTTTCTGTCTCAAGTTGCAATCCCTTCTTTTTATCTCCTTCTTATGACATTTGATTGCTAAACAAGTACTGTATTCGTTTTCCGGGGTCTTAGCTAATTCACATCAAAAGGGCACTTATTGGGATACCTCTGGAAAGCGGGTAGGCTATTTAGGAAGAGGTTTTGTAAAATCACACAATAAAGTAAATCAGTAGGTATCACCGTGCGTTGCAAACACCAACTTACATCTGGGCTCTCCTCAGTGACCTTTATTGATTACTTCAGTATACCAATTTGAAAGTTAGAAGATGTAAGTTAACAGTATGTACACCTCATAACATGAACCTTTATGAATTGTTGGATGGTGGAGCTCAACATGCTACCGGTGTCTAATAGTCCTTCATTAGGGAGGGTGTGCTAAATTTTTGAATATGGTATGGTTGGAAGCTACGCATGTCAGTTATTCAATTACATGCCTAGTGAGGTGAACTAATTGAGCTAATTCTGAATGTCTCAATCCCGAGATAAAGGAAGCACATAAGAATAGAGCCTCAGTCGGGATCTGGAGTCTATTAGCACAGTAATCTGTGCCCAGTAAACTGCAGTCTGGAGGATATGTAGTTCAAGAAATCAAAGGAACACTGATTATGACCTATGTTATTTACCTATGAGATTCATACATCCAGCATTATCAGATTCTCACTAACCAAGGGAGCATTCAGTTGTCAGGTTGAAGTTCTGTATAACTTGAGTGACCTCTAAAGCCTACCACACAATTGTTGATTTCTTGTTAGATGATGACAACTGTAAGGTAGGCTTTTTATGAGAACATTCACTCTGCAATATTCATATCTGAATAAAATCTGAACCAGACAATCCAGCAATCTGTATTGTTAAGAAGGCTCCATTCTGTTAGGGTGTGATGATATGTAAGTCAACAAACTTGACCACTCAATCCGCTGTTCCTTTCTTTCAACCAGTTTACCTTTACCTCTGTCATCTGATATCCCCACAACATAACATTTTCTGAGAATTGCGTTGTCATTTAGAGGGTCTAAATTTATATAGAGCGGAGTAGGGAATATCTGTGTGGGCAACTTGGCCAAAAAATAAAAATGTCATTTCTGTTTCATGTGCATTTTCAAACTTACCAAAATTTTGAAAGTGTTAAAAAGATTTTTTGGTCAGCCCAAATTTTAGTATTCCTTATTAGTATTTGTACCCACCTATTGTCATAAATCTGTTGCTAAATAATCAATCAAAACATGTATGGTTGCTTTCTTTGCGATGTTTATGCACACCTAATTAACTTACGCTTAATATTAAACTGTTGAAAATTGTTCTTAATTTCAAATTGAAATATTTTTTTACTGAATGATGTTAATTTGTTACAGTGTGATGACAATTTTTAGCATCTGACAAACCAGACCAGTTGGCAAGTAAAAAGACCAATGTTGTCACATTCATACTGTTTCTACCAGATACATGCTTTTGAATAGTTAGGATATCTGTATTAAGATTTCATATGTTACGAGTGTTGTTTTTCTGTCCTGATACCTGTTTCCAAGCATCATGTTTTGAAGATGACTTTAAAAAGCACTGAAAAGGTATTCAAGAAGACAATTCAAACAACTTTTGTATGTGTTATTGTTTGGGGAAAAAGCATTGATAAATGTGTTTCCTCTAATTGAACTGATCAACATATTGTCATGGTTGGAGAATAACATGACTTGTTTGTTTTGCTCTTTCTTATAGTTGTGTATGAAAATCATTACCAATATCTAGTCTGATTCATTATCACTTCAGACTTGTCGTCTCCTAATATTTAGTATTTTTTGTCAATACAGCATTGATGTTCTCAGGTAAGATCATTGTTAATTCATGCAAGTATGATTATTTTCTTTGGGTTTCTTTCTAATAGAACACAAACTGGCATTTGTTCCTTGACCAGTCTTTGTTAATTGATATTTCACATCTCATGTCAACTTCCAAGTTTGACCACGTGTTTCTCAGCAAACTTTGTGGTAAGGATGAGAGCAATTTTACAGAAATACTTGAAATTAGTTCACTCGTACATGTTTGTAATTGAACACTAGCCACCGTTGCCTGAACAGCTCCTTTGCAAAGGGGCGGCTTCATTGGCAGTGTTTGCTTGGCAAATGAATGGCACAAGTTCGAATCTCTCTCCCGCCGTGATGTTGCTGGAATATTGCTAAAAGCGGCGTAAAACCAAACTCAGTCAGTCAGTCAGTCGAATCTCTCTCAATATGTCCTCTTCAAAATGTCTGAATTAACTTCATCAGAAACCTTGCCTCTGAACCTCTACAAGAGCTAGCACTTCCTATTTTTTATCCTTAGCCCATTTCCATTATTGGTCCCCTTGAACTGAAAATATTTTTGAAAATGTTTAGGGGAATCCTGTATTCCATACAAAACAAAGACCCATGGATTAGATGCTGTTTTTACATGGTTCACCTTTGGCCTGGAAAAAGCCTTTCATACAACAGCTGTTTTTGAAATGCATTTGTATTCAACAGCTGTCTTGATTTGATTTTGTAGGCATTTAGAAATTGCTGAATTTCTCCTATAAGGTTTTGTGGTCATTTTTATGACCTATATATTCAGAATTTAAGATACTAGTTTTTGTACAGCACCTTTATGCACTAATTCTAAACAAAATGTCTACCTTGATGACTACAACCTTGAGCCTTGTTAACCCTTTAGCAGTTGAGCCTGTTGCGCCCAATCTGTATTTTTGTATTGTAGGATTACTGTTTACTAATTTAAGGATCATATCTGATGGACTGTAAAATGGCGCAATGGAACTCTGGAGCAAACAAACCGTGTCTGGAGAGGATAACATAGTTCAGATATTTGGTGACGACATCCTCTGAATGTAACCATATCTAACAAATGTACTTGCTTGCTGTTTAATCACATTTCAATTGTGTATAGTTGTGGTTGTTTATATTTCCATTCTAGCATCTAGTTAGTGCATAGATGGCTCCCGATACGCTGTTAATATTGTTCATTACCATATGTCAGTATTTATGGCTGTACATACAAGTTTGCGTAACCATGGTAACATTGTTTGGATTCATAAAACCAAGATTTTGTTGTCGTTGTTGTAGATTCAGTAGTGAGCCTTTGTATATGTGTCCAAATTCCAGAGAGCAGCATTTTATTACAGTTGTTAAATTAAGATACATTTTGCAATGCATGTGTTAAACAGTGTTCTGAGATTCATGATTGGACTCAAAAAGATCTGTACAGACGCTATGCTTCAACAAGACGCTGCTGTACAATAAACTGACTCATTCATATGAAGAGTTTCATTGTTGTTGTTCTCCTTTCATCAGGAAGCGGTGGGGTAGCCTAATGGTTCAAGCTTTCCCTCGTCACGTCGAAGACGCGGGTTCGATTCCCCACATGGTACAATGTGTGAAGCCCATTTCTGGTGTCCCCCGCCGTGATATATCTGGGATATTGCTAAAAGCGGCGTAAAACCACGCTCTCGCTCACTCCCTTTAAATAGGTTGGGTGCCAATTCGTCTCCGTGCCCTCAGTGCGGGAACTATATGGCATCATGCACAATGTTCAAGAGGCGTATGTTTTGTAAGGATTGACCATGTACTAATTCTAGCGAAGGATTAAGAGGGATGGCGATTCTAAACTTGATATTTATTCTGTTTCAATATTGAACAAACTTTATGGATAACAACTTATTTTGTTTCGTGAGTGCGACATTTCTTGTACCGTTGTCAAGAATCTGTTTGAAATAAAAGAAGTTGTTATCCATAAAGTTTGTTCAATATTGTACGTCTTAACTTCTGAAATGCCACACGAAGAAGTTATCCAGTTTCAGCTGCAAAACCTGATTTAAACAACCGCAACAGTATATTTTGTGCGGTTGGGTAGCCCAGTGGTTAAGGCGTTCGCTCTCCACGCTGAAGACCCGGGTTCTATTCCCCACATGGGTACAATGTGTACAGCCCATTTCTGGAGTACCCAGCCGTAATATTGCTGGAATATTGCTAAAGGCGGCGTAAAACCAAACTCACTCACTCACTTAAAATTTCTATTTCAGCAGTTTGACATGACTTCATTTTCATGCATTTTCCGAAAATGTTTGAGGGGGGTAAAATTACAGTAACTCTTGATATTTGAAAACCAGGCTAACTTTCGTATGATTTTAGTGAGCAGTTCATGTGACATAATTCTTTTAAATCTCCAGTGGTGATGATGTGGAATAAGGTATTGAAAATACTTCAAATGGACATTTTCTAAAATATATTATCTATTGTGGAGCAGGCAATCCAATGACTGACATTGTTCTTGTTTGCTTGCAACATGGCGTCGGTCTGTGAACAATTGAGTCTGGACCAGACAATACAGTGACTGGTATCATGTTTGACAGTGAGGTTGATGTTTGTTTTACAGCAGCTATATACATGCCCGTCGTCACATAAGGATAATTTATTTAGATACAGCATTCCATCGTCTGGTGTAACGCTGCCGTGGTCCAAACCACAACCCCTAGCTCTCCGGACACACGCTCTAGCTGTTCACTATACGCGGTTCCACAGCTCCTAAATGCTGATAAAATGTTGAAATATCAACTTCGGACATAAATTACGACATCTACAAGTAATGGAGGGAAGATCTTTTAAACTAAGTATCTCAGTTATTTCACTGGAGAAGAGAATACATTTGCTTGGTACATTGGTCCAAAGTCAGAATTTGTCTCATCCCGGCAATAAAATGTCAAACTAATTGTTTCTTTTGTATCGTGATCATCAGTCAGTTTCTCGTCAGTTTTCTATTTTTGTAAGGTTAGCCAAAACGGTGATCATACATTTTATTCTTAAAACTGACAAAATGGTTGTTCGGGGAGGTATATAAGATTAGCTAAATTTAATGAGAATGCGAACGTATGCAAGATTTTAATCCAAGCCCATCTTACAACCAAAAACACCCCTCTCACAGTTATCTACTCAGAAAGTCGATGTGTGTAATTTACCAACTTCTTGTCTAACAACTCCGAAATCTACTGTTTATAGATGCCGAGGAAAATAATGCATAGATACTGCATGCCTCATAGTTCGTGAAAGTTTAAATGTTACGTAATATTATCCGTAACGTATTCTGTCCTTGTTTTTCACGGCTTATTTAACACTCAGCAACAAATCTGCACATTTTTGTGATCTATCAGATAAACGTACTCAATATCAATAAATCGAAATCGAGAACTTGCTGAGATAAGTGCTGGAATGTGATTATAATGGGAAGTAACAGAACGTGAGCATATGAAGAGAAATCTCTCCCGACGATTCAGATGTTTTATCAGCGAGTGTTTCTACACTTGTTAAAACTCATAAGTGTGTATACATGTGTGTTTAGCGTTATTTATCATCTAAAATCTATCTTCCGTTTAAAACAGTATAATAACCCGCTCGCGAGTGTAAAACTCCCAGAGTCGGATTCACCGCTGGATTTCGGTCACGTGGGCATGTCCATTATCACGTGACGGTTATGAAAGACTTCCGGTTGTTATTATAAAAGCAACAGTGCTCAGTGTCGATCAATTTTGTCGTGTAAAATCTTTCTGTATTGCCCTAGTCTTTCATAATATACCACCAATCCAAAAAAACAATCAAGGAAACCACTCATGTGATTCAAATGATACTGTTCATAATTTTCCCATGCCACTCCAGCTGTCAGGATGGCCGAGTGGTCTAAGGCGCCAGACTCAAGGCTGTGCCTTCTCTATCATAGAGGTTGGGTGTTCTGGTCCACGAATGTGGGCGTGGGTTCGAATCCCACTTCTGACACATCTTTTATTTATTTTTATTCTATCGTAAATATTTTCCTATTTATTGAAGTTGTCATTGTTATAATGAATTATTATAGCAGATTAGATGGTAATTTTGTGTTTTACCCAGTTCTTTCGACCACTATATAATATTGTTGATTGTTTATTTTTGATCAAGGAGTTTCTGCTTTTGAATATTTTCGTCATGGGAAATGGGTTTTTAGCCTGCAACTTAGGTGGAGTACAAATTCCATATTTAAATCAGTATTTGTGGATAACCGTGAGAAATCAATCACTTGAATGTCTTTCAAGATCACATGGAGAGAATTTCATGAAAACGTTGGAATTGTCATATTTAGGTTGAGAAACATTTGTCACATTCGCTCCTATATACGGAAGTCGAAAGGACATTTACATGTATTTATCAAGTTATTTGGAAATGTAATCAAGAACAATTTACTTTGTGACGTAGATAGTATGACATAGTCCACGATCAGCTGTCTCCCTATCAATTTATTTCATTTATCAAAATTATCTTCTCTACTATAAATGCTTAGAAAAAGACATCTTCTCTCAAATATCCACCCGTGGACTGCATACCATATATCCTGCAGTTACTTAAGGTGTTAATTGCATACTGGGAGGTAAAATAAACTACATCCCACATTTGACTTGATCATATGTTTGATGTTCAGTTGAAAATATCGGATGTTTGTAATATTACCCAACACTGAAAGAAATACATTAAGTAGAAATAAAACTATAACAAAATGTTTATGGAATTATGCATAACTGCTGATGGGTATCTTAGACATATTATCTCAGAAAATCAATAGATTTGCTTTTTTCAACAAAAACGTACCACAGTTCAAACCCGAGAAGGATTAGGTATTTGTAATTTGGCTTATTCCCACAGTCTTCGTTGAACCAATATATGCTTACACCAAAATATTTTCATGTGGATTGGCTGAAGAATGGGTACTGGTTAAATAGAGAGAAGGTAATGTACAAACTTGGTACACTTTCATTTGTCCGTTGTTGTACATTATCAATGTCACTATTCCGAATGCACCATGATTCATGAACGTGTCAATATGCGTGTGGCGAGGGAACGGAGGAAGAAAGCATGACATTAATTGAGGGGACAAATTTATTTGGTGATGGTAAATGTTAGATTTCGAAGTATTGATCAGCAGGCAATGGCTGTATAGAAACAAAACATTGAACGATATTGGAAAGGCTATAAACAAAGAATTCTTGGTGTTAGATGTGGGATTTGAAACTCAAAGAGGAAATGAAATACTGTAAACAGCCACATAAATATACATACCTGTAATCTACGGTCGCGGGTGAGGCGGTAGCAGTGCCCAGGTCATTATCGTGGAAAGTGATGTTTAACCATCTGCGTGTTTATTCAAGCCATACTAGGTGTAAATGTCTAGTGAATGTCGTGTATCGCTACTGATGTTCACTCCCTCGCACGCATAATGGGGGTGATGCACCGTTTACAAGGAAACTGTAGTGGGGAGGCAGTTTGTGTAATGGAATGTACACACTCATTGTGTGATCGCATAAGGTTGTGACAGGATTTTGTCAGCCCCGTGATAGCTCAGTTGGTAGAGCGGAGGACTGTAGTGGAGAGTGTAATCTGACATCCTTAGGTCGGTGGTTCAAATCCGCCTCGCGGGAACTTTTTGTTTCATATTTTGAAGTTTCCAAATTTAGACACCTTTTTGAAACTATAATAACGTTCTCTGAAAACTCATTGTCCAGTGTTACCAAGTAAATATAGGAATAGGGACTACTTAATGACCTTTTCCTTTTTGTACAGTGAATGAAACCAGATTTGAAATACTTGGAGTTGCGCAATCCATTTGCTCGGTTGCATGATGTAAACTGTGGACAATGTCTTGTGTGTCAAACAATGAATGTACCATGCATGTAGTGATATTGCTTTAACTCTGCAAGAAGAGTCACGAGCACGTATTCCCTCAATTATACGATGTATCAGTGGTAAATATACCGTAGCAATCGCTTTTTAACAGCTGTCAGGATGGCCGAGTGGTCTAAGGCGCCAGACTCAAGGCTGTGCCTTCTCTATCATAGAGGTTGGGTGTTCTGCTCCACGAATGTGGGCTTGGGTTCAAATCCCACTTCTGACATATCTTTTATTTTTTTCTATCGTAAATATTTTCCTACGTATTGAAGTGGTCATTGTTATAATGAATTATTATAGCAGATTAGATGGTAATTATGTTTTTTACCCAGTTCTTTCAACCACTATATAATATTGTTGATTGTTTATTTTTGATCAAGGAGTTTCTGCTTTTGAATATTTTCGTCATGGGAAATGGGTTTTTAGCCTGCAACTTAGGCGGAGTACAAATTCCATATTTAAATCAGTATTTGTGGATAACCGTGAGAAATCAATCACTTGAATGTCTTTCAAGATCACATGGAGAGAATTTCATGAAAACGTTGGAATTGTCATATTTAAGTTGAGAAACATTTGTCA